GAGACATAGACGGTGGTATCGTCTGCGTACATGTGAAGCTGTGGGTCACCATCTATTCCCTCAGTGATATTGGGCAGATCATTACAGAAGATGGAAAACAGGGTAGGGCCCAGCACCGACCCTTGAGGTACACCAAAAGTAACTGGCATAGCTTGAGATTGACACCCATTAATCGTCGTTACTTGCGTTCTTCCAGAGAGGTAATCCCTTATCCAACACCATAAGTCCCCAGCTACACCAAGACTTTGAAGTTTTCGGAGCAGAATGGAGTGGGGAATCGCGTCAAACGCCTTACGAAAGTCTACAAAAACCACGCCTACAACATGTTTCTTGTCGATCGCTTGTCTCCAGTCATCCGTTATCTTCACTAACAACAGCTCGGTGGAATGACCTTTTTTATACGCCCACTGGTGAGGGTTCCCAAGTCCTTGTTCAGTGACATGCGTGGTAATACTTGACGCCACCATAGACTCCATCAGTTTTCCTGGTACACTTAATAACGAAATAGGCCTGTAATTTTGCTTAACAGTTTCATCGTCACTTTTATAGAGAGCTGAGATGTTTGCAGCCTTCCAAGTAACCGGTACACTGTTGCAGGTGGCGCTTATTTGAAAAACAGACAATAAAGATGGAATAATTGAGTCACCGGCAAACTTTAAAAGTTTTGCAGCAACTCTGTCGGGCCCAGAGGCTTTATCGGCTCTCAACTTAGCCATCGAACTAACAATAACCTCCTGCGATAAATTTATGACAGATAGTGGTCACCGAGAGCTGTGCTTACAACCTCGCAGATCTAGCCTTTACAAGTTTTTCTTGCAATTCTCAGTTATCCCTTTGAAATCGGCACTTTTTCCTTCCTAATTGGTTTAAAGGACTAACTCATCTGAATATATAGTACAAGAAACGATAATAGAATCTGAGCTGGAACTTAAAACTCGCTAAAAAGCAAGGAAAAGGTTTATTAAGAACTCTACAAACCACTGCCGCTGGTGTGGTCACCGCTGGGCCCCGTATTCCTGGATGGGGTGGGTCCACTCTTACGTGTCCAATCGAAATCGTCATTTGTCCCCTGTACAAAGCTGCACATCGATGATTCAAAGTCACAACTAACTGTTTTAGAAAAAAAAAAGTATATTTAATAGATTTCTTCTACCTTGTATAAAACAAAAACCATAATCATTAGACTGCCACATCCGCATTAATACATAATCCGCACTTGACGTTCTTTTTCATAGTGTCTCAATAGGTTAATGGCCTTTGAGACTTATGGTCACAATGTTGGTTATTTCACGGCTAACGGCTTATATCGTTCCTCAGTTGCCACCAATTTTTTTTTGCGGTCAACTATTTTTATGGCCATCGGTTAAAATTTGTCAGTGCGGTTTGACGCCTAGCAGCTAAATTTTTTGGACGGTTTACGGCTAACGGTTAACCCCATTGAAACCCTCTTTTTTCAGTTCCATAAAACGGAAGAAAGAAAGAAGAAAAAGAAAAAAGCATCCATTCACGACAAAATTTATTTAGGATTTGAAGAGTTATCATTGTAGTATTCAAATGACCTTACAAGCCATGTAAAAATAGCCGTGGAAGCTTAGTTTGATCTCAACTGTGAATCTAGAATCTAAATAATGTTTGCACTTGAGAGCAATTTGAAGGCGAGCAAGGATAAAGCACAACACGTAGGTAAAAAAAATTTGGACAGATATGGAAATGATAACATAAACCATAGCAACTTGAGTTTCTCCAAAACAGGGTGGTTTCGAAAACAAAAAATTTTCTTTGGCTTAAATCATCTCTAGTTTTTCGGCTTAAACAATGGATAGAAATCTGTGGGCTAGGAAAGAGATAGGCTGAAGTTTATCACACCGTTTTTTTCTAAAAAAAGTTTCCGAAAGCGGACCACACAATCAAAATTGCATTTTTTGCAGGTAGCAATACTTATTACTTTTAGTGTTTAACCGTTTGCAGATTGGTCCCCACTGGGTGCTGGAAAATATAGTCCTTTTAAGAGGTTCCGAAAGTTCAAGCTGAATGCATGTAGCATCAATGTTTCTCTCTCTCACGTTAGTATAAGATTGCCACTCTCCGTGACAAGCGCATGCTTGCTTAACTCTACCCTTGTATATTTCTATATTCCTCAATATATTTCACTGCTGGTGAGACCAAAACCAGCATATCTGATGGTGGTGTAGGTTGAGCAGTTGTTGTTGCTAAAGGGAAAAAGAAAAATCAACGAACTTGGTTGAATATCATGCAAAAGCGCAAAACCAGAAGATTTTTAGGTAAAAAAAGTTCGCTTACTTTGCTGCTTCTTCGTCCCTATCGTAAGAATATGGTGTAATTTTTAGCGCAGAAAGACAAAATGCCAAGGGTGTAGCTAACCTATAGCCCTGTAGGCCCGGGCCTACAATTTTTTTCCACCCGCTTGACTTTTTCATGATAAAACTCCTGCAAATGCTGAGACAAAAAATTAGTTTTCGGACGGAATAGGCATTGCCAGAAATTTGGGACAACATGACGGAGGCGGTTCTCGTATTACAAGCAAAATGGCGCCGAAACAGTATAAGAAAATGTATGGGAAAATATTTTTTTTTCAAAATAGCTGTCTAAGAATGGGATATTCTTTCGCTACTTACTTAGAAATGCAGCCTGCATCATTTAAAGCGTCCATCGCTACGAAAAAGAAATACTCAAATTCAAGCCTACCTTTTCCAAAGGTACACGAGTAAACTCATAATTCTGACTCCATTTTTCCCATACAAACTCTTAAAGTCTGCTTCGACTTGGTGTTACAATTCTTTTGTCGTGGGAACAACCTTGTGAAGATTCGACTGCGTAGATCGATATGCATTCTGAAAAAGTTTGCCCAACTAAATCGCTCGTAAACGGTCGAACATGTTGGCCCATAAATTTTCCTCCAGCCGGGAAACTCCTCGTATTTTCACAGAGCTCAAAAGCCAAATACGCCATTTTCAAATAACCCAATTTTAGGAAGGATGAACACGAAAGATACAAGTCCCAGTAACTGCACAACTTGGCCGCTATTTTCCTTGTTTTGACGTCTCCTTTGGCTTTCTGGGATAGAAAGCTACCAGGCCTTCCTCTCGTGGAGTTTTACGAAAATAAAGAGTTACTTGTTCACTTCACTTCCATCGGCGGCATATTGAATTGTCTGTAATACGATATACCGCTGACATTTCGTAACGTGCTCGAAATGTCCCCGATTTCTGGTGATGGCTTACAACAAGTTGAAAAGCTAGCTGCGCCCCTGAATGCAATTAAATGAATGTATCCAAAAAGTTCTGAAAATCAATGGAGGCTATCATCAAAATTGAAGTTAATAGTGAACGATCAGAGTAATTTTGGGTTTCCTTATTGTTTTTGTTGTTGTTGCTCTCGTTACTGTCTTTTTCTTTTTATCTTATTATGCCTTTTTTGATCAGTTATGATACTGATAGCCAAACACCCAGAAAGCGAAACCACAAAACTGTGCCGGATTTTCCTTTTACAATTCACAAAACACTGAAAGACCTATTAGAAACATATGTTAGCTGTTTCACCTCCATTGTCGTGCAGCAATCGCCACCCTTTTTCTCTCGGTTGTTTGAAATTTTGCGCTGACAAAGCGCTAAAGCTCGAAAAGTCCGCCTTAGAAACTCTCTAAGGTGACCAATTTCCATTATCAGCCTATTCGTTAAAACAACCTGACTGATTGTTTGTTCGAAGGAAAAGGAGAGCATCAATCAGATCAGATGTACTTTCTTTGGGTTTGAGACCTGCCAGTGTTACGACGAAACGGTTACTGCCTAAAGATCTTGATACATACACACGAAAAATATAAGAAATAAATTTTCAGTGCTTTGGCGTCTTGCAATTATGATTTTATAAATATGCGAAAGAAACACTTACCAGATGGGGGAGGGGGTGCAGCCGTTGTTGGAGGAGGTGCAGCCGTTGTTGGAGGGGGTGCAGCCGTTGTTGGAAAGGGTGCAGCCGTTGTTGGAGGGGGTGGAGATCCTGACAGAAATGGAATAAGTGAGTGAATAAATAGAAAAATAGTACCGGAAAGTAAAGCGAAAACTAGGGATTGCATGGAGGTAATTTGCCTGGCAATTCTTCGGGTCTAGCCAAGCTGATGACCGAGAGATTGGAAAAGAAATGGTAAGCTTTGGCTAAGCCTCAGGAAAACAATCAGACAACTTAGAAATATTTAAAATGAAAGCTTTCGTAAACGAACTTTAAGCATATTTTACAATTTTTTATAGGTTAATTTTGTTACTCTTTGGGATCTAAAAACGTAGTATAAATCTACCGAACGAGCGTTCTAACAACAGTGGTGCAATCTGATTGGCTACGCTACTCAATATCTTCTCCTTGAGTGAGTAGTTTTCAGTTGTAAACGAGATAAACTAAAAACATGACCTCTTCTGGCTGTTAAGTTGTGATCGACAAGTAGATTAATGTTTTAGAGAAATTATACTATTGGCCCTCGATTTCTACGCGTAATCATCGATTTGGGCTCCGGCTTCATCAACTATGACGCGATGAAAGTCTCGAGCTTACAATCTAATTGTTAATTACTGGCATTAATCTGTCTGTATGATGATTCTTCTTTAAGTGACTCACCACAGCCCCCTCCTCCTCCGCCGCTTCCACATTCCATCAGCACCACGTTGTCAATGGCAGCATCTCCTCTGTAACTACTTCCACGTATGCCCTCAAATATCAACTGAAATGAAAGGTAACCGCATTATAATCAAGCTTTTCATTAAACTTGAATTGTGACTGAGGTATTGAGCTCCTCATCCGAACTTGAGGTGCTTTAAAACAAAAAAAAAACACCTTGGCCCCTGTACCTGATTTTCTTGTCAACTTTTAAATATTCCTTTTCATGATGTGAAATTCATGCTCATATTCGTCTGCAGCACTGCAGCACGTCTTATTATCGGATCTAAACAATATGATCACATCAAACCTGCTCTTCAAAAACTACACTGGCTGCTAGTTGAATTACGTATAATGTTTAAAGTTATTCTTATTACTTTTAAGATTCTTCATGGACTTTCTCCGGTCTATTTGTCGTCCCTGTTACAAGAATATCATACACCACGTACTCTACGTTCACCTTCCAAATCACTTCTTACTGTTCCCACTATAAATTCCGTGACAATGGTGAACGCGTGTTCTCCTTCTGTGCACCTACATTATGGAATACTCTTCCTGATTTTCTTAAATCTGCAGCTTCTCTTTCCTCTTTAAAATCTGCCCTTAAAACATTCCTATTCCGGAAATTTTATTCTTAGTATTGTGAAACGCAACATAGGTTTTTATCCCATTTAACTTTATTTTTGTTAGTGTAGGTACTACTGACTTAGTATCATTGTTATATTTTAATTTTATTATGCTATGTAAGTGCATTAAGATCCTTAAATGCGCTCATAAAAACCTTACTATTATTATTATTATTATTATTATTATTATTGTTATTACTATTTGTCAAGAATATGTGTTACGGACCCAGCTATATCACATGCTTCAATATCCACATTTTGTACATATAACAAAATTCCATAGCATGGTTGTCACATTGTTTTCCCATAAACAAGAACAGCCTTGCAAAGCCATTTCCTAATTTTAATATCCGAAACACCTGGTGCGACCTAAAGCCCATTCTGTGCCTTCCTCAAGAGTTGTGATATTGAAAAGAGCACCGCCCATGAATAAACGCCATGTCGACAACCTTGAAAGTTTACACAATTCGCGGCATTTAATCGCGAAACTGAAGTATTTAACATGGTGCGTGCCATAAACTATGCCTTTTATTTTCGTATTTTCGATGGTTTGAAGAGGCCGATAGAGTAAATGTGAACGTCAACTTTTCTTTATTGAGTGACCCTCTGATAGCTCCATCAATGCTCGTTAAAAAATTGCTTGTGTGTCCCCGACCTGGGAATTCCCCTTGCCATCACATGCTCCGACTTCCTTACTTCAACCCCAATGCATGACCGATGGATGAAAAAATTGAGTAAAACACTTAAAGCAAAGTTATGACCTTGAGGAATTGCAAAAGTGGTCATCGATTGTGAGTAAGGCAGTTATACAATAGATACGTCGCTTAGCTTCTGTATTTACTTACGGGCCTCTGTAGCTACTAAATAAATGATAAATTAGATCATTTGTTAAAGCTAAGTAATTTTTTTGCTCACTCAGTGACAGTTTCATTGACTCTTTTTGCATTAGCTTCTTAAAGTTTGTTAGGCTGCTTAATCTACTCAGTAGAATGCTTGGTGTGTTACAAACTAATAAGAAGACAATTGGTTATTTATTTGGACCTTACCTCTGATGCACTAGGGTCAGTTACATCGACTGATGCTTTTTTCCACTGATTTCCCTGGTTACCCGACTTAGTAAATATTTTGCGTTGCCCCACAAACACGTTCAATGTTCCCATGGAATCTCCGTACATGTGATAGTAGAACGACAAACATTTCTTCGTTCTGAAGGACAAACCGCTTTTTATAAGCTTAGCATTGTCCCCTGATACTCTTGGAGAAGACGTTTCGATATATACATATTTTCCTGCAGAGAATAGGCAAATCATCTTGATTAAAAAGAGGTGGCCCATAAAGATCCAATTGCCTGAAGACTGCTTACAGTGCTCGCGGCAAGACTGGTAGGGGTCGAACAAACAAGTAAAGCGAATAATTTTGATAAAAAAAGAAGCGAGTTACAAATTTTAGGTGATAAAAGACAAACTCGTTGCCTCAAGTTTCAAGAGAGACGTTGAAATCGAACATGAGACGAAAATTTAGCACTGCAAATGTAGTGCTCATCACTCGGCCGCCCTTTTTACCCTTAAGGGTAGGGAGAAGGATAGCAAGAGTCCGAAGAAAAAGTCGCTAGTGCGCGTAACGAATACTTCATATGGGAATATCTGCAATGCCGAAAAATTTTATGAAAATAATGGAAAACACTGGCTCACTTTTGTGATGCTAACTCGTAATATTCAATAGCACTTCAGATATTCTTCCGACCCATTCGAATTGTGTGATTGTGCAAATGAGTGACATATATTGAAGAGAACCTTCATCTGTTTGTAGGGGAAGCAGTGTTGTCTCATTTAAAGTTCAAGACATGCGCATAAATTTATTTCAAATTTATCATTTTACCATTTCCAGAGGCATCTGCACTTGGCCCAGTCCCGATCGAAGATGTACTTCCTGATCAAACAGTCCAGTCAAACTTGTCATTTGTTGGTTGAGAAAATCCACACAAACCTCCATCATCAAAGTTGCACGAGAACTCTGTTGGAGACAAGCCAAAAAAATCACACCGCCGCAGAATTAATAAAGATAACAATAAAAATGAGATGGACCTCTAACTTTACAAGGTCATCACAGACATACAGTTTGGTTTAGAAAGTGCATATTCCTTTCTTTGAGTATTTGATGATTTTTCAAGTCGTGACAGTGTGACAGAAACATGTTTCAAAATTGCTCCGATCTGATAACAAACTGAAACTGTTCAATTTTGCTGTGTCGATGTTGTTGACAGTACTTAAGCTAGCTGCTAATTCCACAGCTTAATTCCAACATATCTCTCTTACCAATGTTCCCAGGGGTTGTTGGAACCGGCGGGGTTGCTGGCGGCGGTGGTGTTCCAACTGTCCACGTAAACGCACACAAGGTCAATACCGTCTCATCCTTATATATCTTTTATATAACAATTGTGCATTAAATAAGAAGTACGAATAAACCAGGCTAGCCAATTAATTGCAAAAATGTGCAATAATACAAATCTCTTACTAAAGTGAACATGTTACACTCGTTTTCTTTTTTCAAGAGGTTGCAGCAACAACGGCATTGCATGTAAACACAAACTTTTAATCTTTTATTGTATCTTTTTATTGCATCTTAGTTTTGGAATATATTTTGTTGTTTTTATAGGTAATTAGTGATTTTTATGGTACGGCAGAATTGTTCGTTTTAACATTATGGCCACCCCTCTGGATACCAACCTCGTCGCTGAGAGGGATATCCTTAATTTTTAAGGTTATCACATCACATACCTCATCACATGATGATTATGATTAATAAGATAATGATAATGACAATAATGTAATAATGATAACGATGATAGTGAGAAAAGAAATGATGGTAATGACCATGATTATGACATGATGAAAATTTTTTGAGGCTGTTTAAGGAAATAAAATGATTCAAAATTGTTGCAAACCTCCTCCTCCTCCCCCACCATCTAAATTAGTGTGCTGTTTGATCCAAGCTCGGAATTTTGTCACTCGGGCAAACACAGTGAAGATTTGCCTGGCATTACATTGTCCAGATCCCCAACTGACAGCACCATGCAGGGTGTAAGTTTTCATGTCTGAGTTTAGACACACATAAGGACCTCCACTGTCACCATGACAACCACTCAGAATGGTGTTCTCGACGCCAGCGCAAAGCATTTGGGGAGTAAAAGGTATTGTCACTAAGAGTGAATTCAAAATGAAAGCAAAATTAGTTTTATTTTTTCATAATTTTCTTCATGGCAAGATATCGTCTTAAGGGCCTAGCGAGAGTTAAAAATTTCAGACGCTCTTGGTATGATAAAAGGCCGTAACGAATAAAAAGTCATCAATTTATGAAAGCCTGAAATCGTCAAAAACATATATTTCACCTACAAAATGACGATCTCAAGGGAAGAAATATATCGATAACGATCTTACGGAAAGGTCATGCCGACTCAAGTCCTGCCTGAGCCTTCATTTTCCATGATTTTAGTCTCTTCGCAATGTTTGTATACAGCTTTCACCTTTTCATTAATGTTTAATTAACTACTAACTACACTATCTTAATTTTGATAACATACCTCCGGATTGGCTGATCTTTTGTTTGCATTTTGCGTTGTCGATCACTGGCATCATGGCCTGCTGTAAGATGTGATACGAACTTCCTGGATGTTTGATTTTTCCCCAACCTAATAACAAATTTTCAATCATTGAAGCGATCAACTGAAGTTGATAAACTTGCGAATGCCACGTTATTTGTAAGATTATAATATGGGGATTAAGATTTAAAGATATGTCCTACTTTCTACAGTATTTTAAAAATATTTTAATGAGATTGGTACGTCTGCGTTCCGTCGTTGATAACTATATAGAAATCGGATACTGGAAAGTTGAATGTTGAACAGTATCAGGAGCTCGTACGTAAGCAAAACGAAAGGTGGTGATTGGGTGATATGAACTTATACATGTATTCAGTTTGGTGATTATCAAACTTCCAATTGCAAAGATTCAGAGTAAGTTGCCTATTTCTAAAACTATTGGGTAGCAATAAGTTCTTACTAAAACATTTAGAGATAAAAACGAGCGATAAAAAATATGAACGACGTTTAGACCACTCTACGGTCATTTTCAAGTTAGAGTTCAATTAATATGAAGTGTTTGCTTAACACTTCATATAAATTAATTTTTATCTTTTTCACCGCTTATTTACACTTAATGTTTACACTTTGTTATAAGTTATTAGCTCTATTGCTAATATGTAAATACTTAGCTTTTACTTTCATTCCATTGTTTCGGAAATCGTATACATGCTGAAATGTACTCATGAACTCTAACTTGAAAATGACCGTGGAGCGGTCGAAACGTCGTTCATATTTTTTATCGCTCGTTTTTATCGCTAAATATTGAGTTGCAAAACTTCAAAAGCGAGTCTGAAAACTCATATATGGCAAAAGCATATACGTTGTCAGAAGTGCACTGATACATCTTGTCCAATTAAATTGCCCTCGAGCAGTATCTGATGTCTCTTTACTGCACTTGAGTATTACAATATTTTTAACAAGGGCAGTGAAGTACACAGTGAGCTGTAATTCACAGAAAAGCCAATGTTGTTCTGACCACATGTGAATTTCGTTTCGCCAGATGGTGACGAATAAATGGACCCCCAAATGTTTTTGCGCGTCGCACGTTGATTGGTTGAAATCTGATGACCTGTCCTGGATTACTTTGAATTATAATGACCTAAAGCTGGAAGGAAGATCAAGATATTCGGAGCTTCACTTTTGGGGTCAGCTACGTACCCAAACTATGGTGGCAATTTGACTGACCTGTGATGTAACATTTTGATCCAGTTGGTACATCTGAGTCGTGCGATGGCAAGCAAATGGGATTCACCCTCTGAGAAAGCTTCACTGGTGTGGACAGTTGAATCAAAGCTATATCATTGTTGATTCGGCTGGGTCTGTTGTATGATGGGTGGCCAATTACTCTTCGAGCCCCAACCTCTTCCTCTGTTCCTTCGTCTATGTTTCGATTGTGATCGCCGACAACAACTTTGTATGAAGCAGGGTTTCTAATGACACAAAACAAATAAAATTACAAGATGCAGTGGTGTTAACTGTTATTTTGCCTAATGCAAGTGAGGCTTTAAAGAGGGAAATAAAATAATTTTCGATCCTAGAACGCTTCTGTTAAATATGTACGCTATTTACTGGTGTAAGAAACATGTATGAGGCGTTTTCTCCGGGATTTAAGCCCGTAAGGCCAGTCTTTTTAATTTTTTCCAGACATTCAAGGAGAGATTGATTTTACAGCAGTGATCATAGTAATCGTAGCACCATGAAGAAAAATAAATGGAAAAAACTACATTAGTTTTGCTCTTCTAACAGCCAGGCAGATAGCTCTGAAATGGAATTATAAATTATTGGTACCATGTTCATGAAAACTGCAACTGAATACTTACGAACTCCCTGCTATGCAATGGGCAGCTGTAATCACCCATATATCAGAAATCAGTGATCCTCCGCAGATGAACCTTCCATTGCGCTTCAGAGCTATCTGTTAAAGGAGGAACGATGACGTGAATAAGGTGTTACGTTTCTCTGCAGTACAAACCCTACGGTGAGAAGGCTGTCACATTTACAGAAAAAGAAGGCTGTGACATGTGTTAAGAGATCAGTCATTTGATTTTGTGACCTTCTTTCTAGGCTTGCTCGTAGAGTGAATTACGGGCATTCACAAAAGGACACGGACGTAACCGTGCTGCCACAGGCCTTACCTGCCATGGCCAAGCCCCAGGTTTCGCATCTTGTCCTCCAATAACTCGCGACTGAACAATAGGCGTACTGCCACATGGCGGCGGCGGCTGCTGCCCTGCGAAGAAAGACGCACAAACAAGCTTTACCTGACTGATCCAGTGAAGTAAATAGATTGACACAAGATCGATGACTTCATTCTTCTGTCCTCTCATAGTCACATGAGTACGAAAAAGGAAAAAATAATGATAATAATAATAATAATAATAATAATTCGTTTTATATTGATCATTTATATTTAAGTAGTATTAGATATTATTATAGTTAACAGTCCTGTCATGCAGATAGGTTATGAATTTTCGCCCTATCTTGCTTAGCTCACTAGCATCCAAACGTGTATACTGCATAATAATAATAATAGCTCGATCCCAAATAAGATCGACTCTGAGATCAACACAAGTGAAACTTTTGTTACTGTTGTTCCTAACTTGACAGTATGCAGGACGCATGTGATACAGGGAACTGGTGCATGGCCTCTGTATGTAAGTGGTAAGTCGTTGCTCTCACATGCTCAAAAAATGAATAAACTCCCTCCTTATTCTACGACTGAGCACAAGATTTACCATCCTATTCAAATGTACGAGATTGCCTATAATGATGACAGGAATAAAACTCAAAATTTTCTCGCTTTTGGTATTTTTTTTAAACAAGAAAAAAAGCAAACGATGAGTGAAGAAAGGAATGAAAAAAAAAGGATGTATCTTTTCAACGAGAAAAAAAGATTCAAATGTGACGACAAGGCTGACAAAAAAGTGCGTTAGTATGTGGTATTCTATTTAGTGGAGAAAAAAACAAACGTAAAATGAGATGCGAATGGTGATATCTTTCGCTCATCAAAGAAACAAGAGATAAAATACCCTCAAGCAGCCGTGCCGATGAAAAGCTAATTTTTTTTTGTAACTTCAAAGAGGTTGTTACTATCAGGAAGCTTCGCTCAAATAGCTCGTACCAGAATGAAAAATAAAATTTGCTGGACTATGATGTGTTTGAAACATTTTCTTACCCTTAGCTGAAGATCCCAACAGCAATAACACCAGAAAAATCATCTTCACTGTATCAAAGATGACTGCAAAAATTTTCCCCTCAGGAATTTATTTATACCCATGCATCTAACCCAAAACGCAAATTATCAACAAATATTTTTGTTAGCAAATGAATGATTGCTAAAACTTGGCCATGGTGTATAAATATTTTTACTGCCCACAAAAGAAACAATTACAAACATTACCTGCTTTTGGGATGTTTCGTAGAATTGAAATGTTAAAGCACCGATTTATGCGGCTTTTGTAAGATTTAAAAGCCACTTTAAGTCTGACTAAACAGAATAGGATTTCCTATTCTTAGTATAATTGTTTTTAATCTAAAAGTATTGATACAGTCTAAAAAAAAAACAGATTCTGAATGGGTTTAGTTCGTATAGCTGTTCCACAGTTAAAAATTAACGTAAATTGATAATTGAAAGAACACATTGTTTAGCTTCGGTTAAACTATACTTGAAGTCAAAGATTATTTGCAGACGCCTCTGGACGTGTCTTCGTCCCCTTGTTTTCCTTTTTAAATTATCATTGCCTAATGTTATTTTTCCGGCCATTAACTGCTCCGAACAAGAAAATGATAGAAGGAAATTGTTTGGAAATTAAAAATAAACGATTATGATTAGGAAAAACACATTTTGTCCAACAGGAAATAGCCGAGCCTTCTGTTTTTAGAATAAAATTCACTTAACATATTGAAATTTTTCTTCAACATTAAGTCTTTATATACTCCAGTCTGAAAATCCAATGTAGGAGCAAAATATATCTAGCGACAGCCGGTGATCATCAATCTCCATTGAAAATTCTGCTACTTAATAAAATTAAATGAATTATGAACTGAGAAAAGCTTTGCAAAAGTCGCTTATGATTTATACAACTGGACGATGAGTAAATATCATGTATCGGTCGGCAATTTATCAGCAATTAGAGGGATCGCCAGCTGTAGTTGAATTAAAATGAACTGAATTAAAATCATCCTTAAAGTTAATACAGCCGACGTGGTCAAATATCAAATTCTATGAACGAGTAACCATAATAAAATTGATTTGAACTGCGATGTTCATGATATCAGCTTCCTTTTCAATCTTGAATTCGCCCACTCTGATACAATCCCACTCTCTTCTTTTTGTTTTACCCTCGGTTTCAAATTAAAAAAAATATTATATTTGCTGGATTATCCCCGGCTGCTTATATCTGACAAAGGTCGTTGATTTCCATCTTCCGGCAACAATGCTAAAAGGTTTTTGCTTGCTATTGCGCAATTCAAAATGGTAAAAGATTCATATTAACGACCAGTTTTTAATACATATCTAATCACATCAAGTGGAGAACAAAAACAAGACAGAAGATGTACTACTGAGTTGTCCCTGCTCAAGAGGGCTTAGAATTTGAATCACCTGTTTCAATATGATTTGGTAATATCAACTAAGTTGAAATTGTAAATTGGTCACCGTAAAGAGTTAAAAAGCTGACGTTTCGAGCGTTACCCCTTCGTTGTGCACTCGCTCTGACGAGGGGTTCACGCTCGAAACGTCAGCTTTTTAACTCTTTAATTTTCGGTGGCCAATTTAAAATTTCAACTTAGTTGATATTACCAAATTATATTGTTACCCCCACCGACGCAGCAGCACAGTTTCTTTAGAAACTTACCCCCTTTATTCACCTGTTTCAATAAAGTGGTAAAGAGAATTAATCAATTCTAGTATGAGTCTGTATTTTATACAAACACATAGACTGATAACAGCTCCCTACTCTCTTTTTACCTGTCAATCATTATGCTTGTTTTGTAAATTAAAGGAGTGACAAAAAGCTTTTTTTAAGAAATCTTGAAGGAAAGTCAATAATATTTGATAAGGAATTTTTAAAAATGTAGACGTCGAGCTTCCAATGTGGATCCTTCAAAAAATTCAAACATACGTAGAGGCATCAGATTGCATTTGGTAATCATTCGTTGTCATTCTTCAAGCACAGTGCATTAGTGTAAAATGCTGACATGATCTTTGATTTACAAACAGAAGAGAAAAAAAACAGATTCTATTTTTTCAAATTTTGCTTAGCTGTTCCAGGGCTGAGTTAAAATGATCATTTTGATCAAAGGTTTGTTCTTCAATTTGTGTTGAGTTATGGTTTCTGGACGATGGTTGTTTACAGACGCCTGTGGAGATGTTTTTCACAGCTTACATTTTATCTTTTTTTGTCTCTAAAATATTTCAAAGCTTCATGTTATTATTCTGTCTTGTAATAACTCCGCGGAAACGGATTTTTATTTTATTACACAGCAATGACGAGATTAGAAATGAAATCAAAAATAGAGAGTAATTAATGAAAATTAACGCTTAAAAAACTTAGCTGTCGAAAATTGCTTGCAAAGAATCTGCGAGTCATTTGCCGTTGTGGCGAAATTCCACCTCACATGCTTTCATGGTTCTCCTCAAGTATTGCTTTAAGTCCTCCAGTCTACAACTCTAATATAATAGAAAAAATATCCCGAAGGGACAAGTGACAAACCGTCACTGATTTAAAATTAGAACTATGGAGGACGAGCAAAGCTTTTCAATAATCGTTTCAGAAGTACACAATTGGACAAGGGCTTGATATAAGTTGTTGGTCACCTTCCGCAAGTTGTCTTCAACTTTAAGACATAATTTATTTTTCAATTAAAACCGACTTAATTGATATCAATCTTAAAGTATGTACAGCCGACATATTACCAAGTACCTTTTAGAATTAATTTGATTGACATTGCTTTATTTCATCAATTTTAAGTACCTGAAGGCTTTCAATTTCCACCCCCAGAGCCATTTTTGTTGTCTTCTTCGTAGGTATTTTGCTCCCTGCCATGATCTCAATGTTTTTGAATTTACGAATTCTTCACCGATGATCTGCGGCTAAAAGTCTTGCAGCTGATCGATCAGATAAGTTAATTTTTGATCTGTCTTAAAAGTTTCGTCAGCTATTGCACAATCTAGACTTTAATCAGTAACCTGTCCTAAGTCTATATTTAATCAATACAATTGTTTTGAGTCAGTTTCTGAACTAAAAAAAGATTCCTGCGCGATTACTGAAACATCTGCTTTAACAAAGCAAAGTAAAGAAATTAAATATTTTTTTTAACACCTGTATTTTGTACTAACACAATCAACTGACAAAAACACCTCAAATCCCATTGTAATCCTTGTTGTAACTGAACAAGCTTTTTTGGGAAAAAAATGTAACCAGGGTTTTGATAATATCTGATTAAATCTTCTAGTCTCCAAGGTGAACCCCTTAAAAATATGCACCGTGATAGCGCACGAAAGAAAAAAAGTTTTCTTTTGCTTTTATAAGTCTCCAAAGTAAACCTTTTAAAAATTGTAGCGCGATAGCGCACGAAAAAAAAAAAGATAGAAAGGTTATTTTTCTGAGAAAGATTCCTAGTCTCCTACATGTTTGCAAGATACTTTAATTCCAAAATTGTCCGAACTCGTGCACATTCTCTGTCGGTTAAAATGGAATTGTCGAGGTCTAAAAATTAGTTATTCCAACATGCACGGTCATGAATAGGTCGCCAAAGATGTTCTTGACTAGGTTCTCTTTTTTTTTTTTTAGGAATACCTTTCATTTACGGCGATAGAGCTCTCAAAACAGTTGGACAAGACTCTTTAACGTCACTATTTTTATCAGACTGGACATAAATTTTGAATCAAATCAAAATATGAGAGAGTTTTCTATTCCTAACTGGGAAACAGAATTCTTAATCAGAAAGAGCATTTATTTTATCCTTTTGAAGAAGATGGGTGAGTGACACATGAGGAAGACAAACAAGCCGATGATTGTTCCCTAGGCGAAATAACATTTGGGAAAGGCGTTTCTTTACAACGCTGCTGATTAGGAAAGGTGAGTAGTCTTTAGCGAGTGAGGCGTCCTTGTCTCGGTGGAATCAATTGAACCGAAATCTAAGATTTTATGGCTGTAACTTGGTCTTAAAAAGACAATGACGGAGCTTTTCACGGATTCGAACACAAAATCATTTTTTTGTTTCACCTTAATATAATTGCTCAGCTGCTCCCTGCAGTTAACAGATTTTTGTTGGTTCATAATAGCAACAAAAGAGTTGCGTTAATGAACTTGTTCAACAGTTACAGAGTCGCTCTTCTTGAAAGCCAAAGCAAAACATTTTCCTTTATTAATTCAGTTTTGTTTTTAATTCGGTAATTACGGACCACGGCTATCTTTTCTCTGTTTTTTTTCATTTGTCCTGAAGTTTGTTAGATCGAAAACAAAATCTTGAGACTGTGTCAATTGCAATTATATACCTTTACAGTCTGAAAAAAGAAAAAACAATATTTGAGAAGCGTGTTCATTGGAAATAAAATCGCTACTTTAACTTCAACGGACAGCCTTGTCGGTTCGCATAAAGCAGTGTGTTTCAAGATTCAAATACTCGATAAATTGAAACGAAAGAAAGTAAAATGTACTTCAACAAATTTCTATGGACTTCTTTGACGTGCCTGGACCAAGCAGTACCTTGTTTCACATCAAAGGGAGGATTCTATTTAAACGAAACTGGTCTACTTGTATTTTAAGCATTTGGAAAATGGAGAATGGAATAAAATCTTTAATGGAGGCCAATGTTCTCATAAAAGATATACTCTTAAGGTTTACTTTTTTATTTTTTTTTTTCATTGAATCATAGCTAATGCATCATCACAAAGAGAAAAAAAGGTTTTATCTTCGTTGAGAGCTGACCTTTCTTTTTTAATTCGATGAACAAACGCTGGACACAAATCTCATAGGTTTTTATCAGTATTTTATTATGGGTTCTGTTACATTAATGCAGCAGCGTTTCGAGCTCTACCGTCAGGCTTCGTAGGATAAGCATTCTATTGCAGCTTTTCGCAGAGAGGCGATTAATATAGTGCTGTGTTTCAAAACGCACGAAGAATTCCTGCGTTTCCTTGGAGTCTGTGTCATTCCTCAAGGACCACGATCAGGAACTGAGCAAGACAAGGGAGAAATAAGAACAATAAATAATGATGAAAACGAGAGATTCGTCGGTATTTATGAGAAATACCCTTTTTCCGTTTTGATGGATAAGTTTTGGTCCTTTCAAACGAGCTGCTCAGATGACGAATGCATAATGCCTTAACATTTTTTCGCTTTTACGCTCAACCTCCTCGACCTCACTCCATTGTTTGAATCTGAAGTGTCTCTTAATCTGATTTTAATAGTTACAATTGAAAAGTATACGAGGATCTCTTGTCCTTTTGTATGATACAATATCACCGCAAATTACTATTTTCATTTATTGTTTGTTCTTGTTCTGAGCATAATGGTAATCTCGAAACTTAAGGTAATCCTTCAAGTATAATGATTTTTCTTTTCATGATCCCTTACCACAGAACTCGCATGTTTGCAAACAGTTTGTTTTGACTTCATACTCCATGTCGGGTCTGGTGGATTTACAATGTCCGGCCCTCTTTAGCTCCTGACAATTGTTTCCTTTGTCATAACATTCTGAGGGAAAAGAAAAATGGTTTTAAATTACGATAAGAAGACTTTAAAAAGCAAAATTGGATAAAATATTGCAGTCCTCAATATATAGTTGGCAGCGCCCGTGGGCAAGATGAAGCGAATCCTGGGTTCTAATTGGCCACCCGAGCCATCTTGCCTGCTCGGGATTGCCCGCTTTGATCCCGTGCAAGAAAAAGGTGTGTGGAGCGTAACTTTTGGATAATGTTGGTGATGAAGTCAAAAAAAAGCGGCAGAAGTCAGTCAAAACAATGAAACAAAATTATACGACCCTCTTGGGTTTATTGTACTACAAACACAGTGGTTTTCTTTACCGGCTTTCGAAGTAAACAAGTCATTCTTGATTCTTATTAAAGCGAAATCGTTTTGCTACAAAATAAATCCATCATTGACCAAGCTTGTTCAGTCGAGATAGCCGGATATTAGCCTCTCTTTATGCGTTTTTATGAACCTCGACTTCGTATCGGCCCATAAAAACGCAAAAAAAAAACCTCGGCCAATATCCTTCAATCTCGTCTTTACATTTGGTGAATAACGCATATTTCCGCATGTAAGCTGGTACATATGTTTTATAAAGTATCTGCTACTTGAGGCTAGTTGGATCTCATCCTTTAAGCGGCAAACAGTACATATTTCATCTTACCCTCTGGGGTAGGTGCTTTGCCTAAAGGAAAGAAAACAAAATGTCAACACAATCTGTGTTACATTAAATTTAAAAAGGAGATAAGTGAACGACAGAAAAAAATTACAATTCGTTTTTAAATTTTTTTTTTTTGCTTTTTATAATTCCTCCCGACTCTTTAATTAACGTGTTATATTGAATATTTCCAAAAACTCGGTGCAATTCAAAGTTTTGTAGTCAGATGTCCACTGATCGCCATTTCTTTGCAACGACTACGTACTTCTCTTGACGGCCACTGCCTTTATCTTTTTATTTACTGCTATGAAAAGGGCACTGACTACTGATACAATTTTGATTATCTTGCAGTCAAAGATCAAACTGATACTGTTTCGCCTACTTACAAAAACCGCAAGTCACTCCACAGTAGACGGCCATGGATGAGTTACGTCCGGGATTTTCACACAATCCAAATGACTTCCACCACGCACAATTTCTGTCTCGGTCACGGCAGAAAGCTGAAATTGATAAAAAAAGAAAAAAAAGAAGTGAGATATAATTATTTATGATTAAGTTTTTATTGCAACGGATAATCAACTGCAAACCGGATCCTTATCTTATGCTATACTTTTTTTAACACTACTGATTAGTTCATGTCTTCTTGCAAAATTGTAATTCTAGGTTTACATCTCTGCCGTGATTCATTTATCTTTTGGTTCGTAAAGATCAGCTCTTTCCATCGGATAGGAATTCCTCCCCTGATAAGCTGAAAATTTGATTTTTTTACTTCAGTAGCAGTTTATTTCGAAGTCAATATAGACCATTTTACAGATTCTGTTCACGCATATAGCGTTTTCAGCATTACTGACTCTAACAGCATGGAGAAGGAGTGTCACCGCCTATGAACCTTGTAATGGCCTTGCTCACCGTAGAGTCTCTGTAGAGTCTCCGTTGGGCATCGGAGCGTGGAATCCAAAGATTCGATTCCACATGAAACCTCTCATGGACAGGCAGAATTTTTTTTCTTTGCCTCGCGATCGCGATGAGACGAAAAAAAAACTTTCTTTATCAATAAAGCTGCTGTTTACGATCAGTGTGTATCCTTAAGCTGAGATTTTTTATTTATAAAGTAAAAGTATTTATATGAAATTGATGGGAAATAGTTTAACCTGGAGGTGAAGGCGGCTTTGTCGCGTTGGGATTTACAGTTGGCTCTGTAGGTTGAAATTGGAGACACGTTAGATTTGACGAGTACTCGTGGTTCTCCTCCCTTCCCTGCCTTAACGTTTTCAGATTACAAATGTTGGTCTAAACATTCTGTACTTTTTTATATCAAATCATAATCTGAGAGATGCCAAACGTAAGACCACAAGGTGGGTGATCAATTTAAAGCCCTACAATTTTTGTGGAATTATATGTATTCTGACATCCACAAGGAGCCTTCGCACAGCCCTTAACAAAAGCTAATGGCGAGAAAGAAGCAAATGTAGAATTCAATTTGAAGTTATTCATACGGGAATGTGGCAAACAAATTAATAAGCGAGTTTAATCTTGGTAACGTTTCCATCTCGACCTGATATCAAAAACATCAATGTACTGTTTGCATCCGAAATGCTCAGGTTTCTATCCGAAATTTTGCAATACCCTTTAGGTAAAGGTAAACCAAATAGTCCTGGAAAATTCTACAAGACCAAAAATGTAGTGATGAAATACAGAGGTGGAAAAAAACCTGGGTCGCTTCACTAAATGATTTATTCGTCAGTTAAGTAGACGCCAGTACCTTTTTTACATGGAAATTTGCAGGACTTTGGGCAGTAGTGTTCTAAGAATTTATACTTCCTTTTATCTTCACATTCTCCCTGCTCGGCCCATTTGGGACATTTTTCTCTCCACTTTGGTGCATCCTCGCCACAGACTATTGCATTTAAAACGAGCGTTATTGGTATCATAATCATTATGATTACTATTATAATCACAATCGTTTTTAATTGTCATCATTATTATCATTATCATCTTCAGTATTATTTTTAAATCTCTTAGATTTTTCGGTCCGCAACCTTCAGCATTACCCGCTCAGACCATAACTCAAAAGAGGAAACACTCTGTCTGTAAGTTAGCGACCTCTGTTAATAGTTGTCAAATAGAGGATTCATAAATAGACATTGTACCGTAGCGCAGTGTGAGTATTTGGGGATTTCTCCATAGTGTTTGTCTACTGTACTTGTTTAAATTTAAGCTATTGTTGTTACGTACTTTCCTGAATAGGGGGCTTTGTTGCTGGTGAATCTGAAAATAAAGCAAGACGAATAGCATTAGAAACATTAGACCTTGGCTATTTAATTCAGTGATCTACGGGGCAATGAGAGCCTGGGCTGGGTTTGGCAGTCTAAGTATTTCCCCCTAAACGCCAATGCTGGCACTGTGTCACTGATCGTAGCATGAAAAAGCTGCTCTCTTCTTTTACAAGACCTTTTCATGAAACACAAACAAACAAACATCAAACATCATACCAAACCAAACCAAAAAATTATCTTATCCGAAGATAAATGATATATTTTACTTACCGCACCATCCACATGACGATTTGCAGTTCTTTCTCGTGAAGTCTTCCTGCTCTTTGCAAAAGCCTGGCTTCGAAGCAATGTCCACGCATTGGTCTTTGAACTGTGGATTATCTGCGCATCCTTAATGGCGTGATACAAAAAGAGATCGAATGTTTTTCTATAACTGATTTACTTATAGTTCTGTTTACTTAAAAATAAGGTTACATAACTTATTTTTTGGTCGCCTCAGATTCTTTAAAAAATGAAACAAGAATTGGTTTGCTTGCGTCATCTATCATTACCCTTGTCAGCTTAAAAAGACCAAGAAGAGTGTGTATTATTTTTATATTCCGTAAGAAATGAAGATCAAACGCTGATTTTTGCACTGCGAATTAGAGTTAAACATACCATTTTTACTTTGGCATTGCTAAAATACATTTGCAAAGCCTGCTTGGCAGGCGTTTCAAGGAGGAGGGACTATTGAATGATCACGAAATAAGAGGAGATTGGGCGAAGGACTGCGTCATGATGAGAAGAGGGAATGTAACAGCAAACCACTGAGACGAAAAAGCTGATTTTAACCATTGTTTAGACATTGTCCACGTGAGGTTTTAAACAGTTTTAAAATCTCAATTTTACAAGCCTCCGAACGCTCAACGGTCGATAATGAAGTACTCTTCTACAAAACTTATGAAAAAGTAAGGTTAGTTGATTAAAATCGCTGAAATGTATGAAGATTAACAAGCCACTGTGAAGACGTGTAAAGTACCAATCATTACATCACATGAAGACCTCCTTAAACTTAGGAAAGGGCTCTACGGAAACCTCATGGTTGCTTTACGAAAGAGTAAATCTACCATTTCATGCCGTGATAAACCTTCACTTTCGCAGCTATTACTCGGGCTTTCCGAAGGAAACGCCCGAGGTATAAATTCGGCTTCGTTTATTTTATCTTTTTTTTTTGCGTCCAGTCACAAAACGAAGTTCACTACAACGCATTCGTGAAGTGCAAGCGCATGCGTAGAATGAACCCTACAGTGAATTGTTTAAAGGAATGGCTGCCCTCGTGAACAATTCCTTGCTTGATGTACGCGAAAGAAATTCGATGGCTATTACGCTCAATATACATACAAAGTCACACATCGTTCGCGGTAGACCCACACTAAAACTTGTAGAGCGTTTTGGGAACAGGTCGGTCCGCGAACTTTACGAGAGATCAATTTAAGAGCGATCCTTCACGAGTGAACCTTCTATCGAGAAAATAAATATCAAAGGAAACCTGCTATATCAAACGAGCTATCACATCTTATGTTTACATGCAAACACAACCGTATATTTAGACGTGATCGAGAACCCATTAGAACACCAGAAGCTGCTCTGAAACGTCTTAAGCAAGGGCAGAAAACTAAAGGAATTTGTTTATGAGCGTATTCGTCCAAGCATACCGAATTCCTCTTGGCTACGTCGTTATGTGAAGGTTAGAAGAGTTACAAAGAATGTTTGTAAGCTTAATGCGAAGAGGGTAAGATTAAAAAAAGTTGCACAACATGAGAAGAAGTATTTGTTGAATTGTTCTATGAGGGTATATCAAAGGATAATTAAATTGAAGTATAGAGCAAGTCGGTATTTATCAATGTTGTCTTAGAAAGCCCGAGTTCACGCAGCTATGCGTCTAGTTTTACAAATAACATCAAAGGAGGAAAAAAGCGGAAATAAAAAACATGATTAAAACAAACACGGTGGCATATTAATAAGGTGATCTTACCCACTTCTCCAGGTTTCATTGGCTCCTCTGCAATGAAACATCAACAACAGGGGAGAAACAGTCGCAAAATTCACCAACATTCATCAACAACATCGACATCGTCGATACATTCAGTAATAACCATTACTAGTCTGATGTTATGTTCAGTATTGAACGTTATTATATGGCTGTGTCTCACAAGGACTGGTTCATATATATGAATTGCGGTTATGAAACGTATATGTATTTCATATGTTTGTTGTTTGATTTATCATCTACGGGTTTATGTCGAATTAATTTGATGGCCTGCTCCCAGTTGGCTTGTTAGCTCAATTGGTAGAGCGCTGCACTAGTATCGCAGAGGTCAGTGGTTCGAATCCCGTACAGGCCTGAAATTTTTTTCAGGTCTGATTTTCACTATTGCTTAAATAGTGCTTTACTGCGAAGGATCGTGCACATATACGTTTCATAACCGCAGTTCATATATATGTATTTCAAAACAAAGACCATTCGCTACTTTTAATTTAAAAGTCAAAATAAGTAAACTTACCAGTGGGTGATGTAGTTGCTGCATAGAAGAAAATTTAACAGTTTAAGTAAATAAATTGAAACAAGACGTGCCAAAACAATTGTAGGGACTGATCATTTTAGGGCCATTCTGCAAAACGGAACCTAATCGAGTTTCTGTCTTCCTTGGCGTTCTTCAAATGAAACATTTTCTAAGTGTTACGCTCCTTTCAAATTCAACTCCTCTCTCTCAGCGGCAGAACGAATTTTAAGCAAACGAAATCTAATCGCAGAAGAATTTTTTTGGGCATAAAGTCAAGATGAATTAACTTACCAGTGGGTCGAGTAGTTGCAGTGTAAGAGAAAATGGAGCAGTTTTAACGGTCATAAACGAGACATGCCAAAACAATTGTATGGACGAGTCATCATAGGGCCCATCTGCCAAAGGGAACCTTATCGACTGTCTATCTTCCTTTACGTTTCTCAAATGGAACGTTTTCTGAGGGTTACACTCCTTTAAAGTTCAACTCCTCCCTCCCGGCGTCAGAATGAAGTTTGAGGAAACGAAATTTTAGGCTCGAAAGATTTTTTGTCGGTCATTAAGAACACGGTCATGATTACTCTTCGTTTTTCTCGTCTTTCGATTGTGACTCAATCGATCGATACTGTGCTCAGATAAGGCTTAGGAATTATTTTGAAACTTAGAAGCCAAAATGCTGGAAATTGAAGTAATTATGAAAAGATAAATCTCTTCTTCGATTATTTAATAAATGATAGGAGCATTTTTCTCATAGTTTTTATTTTCCTCTCGCCCACGTGGCTTGATAAAGTACTGCCTGAGTACTCTAGACTAAAATATCGGCGTATATTACGTTAAACCATCGAATAAGTTGTATCCAGTAACTTCGTCACTAGTAGATAACACCTCACACTTACATGTGCAAAAGCCGCACGACTTAGCGCAGTATTTTCTCATGAAACTCTTTTGGTCTCTGCAATAGTTTTTAACAGCAGCTTTCTCAGGACAGCCATCTGCATAGTTTGGATCATCTTCACAAACTGTAAGGCAATGTATACGTCTATAAGGGTGGGTTTTTTGTGAAGGCTTTCACAATCCAGCCAAAGGTGTCTCCCCCATTGAATTCGGAAAAGATATTTAGAACTTGAGAAGAATTTGCTACCTTTCTATAATATCAAGAAATGGTTAGATATTCTAGTCTTCTCGGATAGGGACGAATAAATGGAGGTCCCGTCTCCTGCAGGGTTGGGGTAGGAGACGTTAATTTCCCACACACGAGATTACTGTGTGATGGATGTCCTCCCCTGGAGTGGGATGGGTGGGAGGGTGGACTAGCACGAATGGTTCCTATGTTCCTTTCTAGTCCTTCCCCACTGCAAAAACTTAATGCAGTGAAAATGGACTGAATTAAACTGAATTGAATTAAAGAACTGAGACAGAAAGTATGCAAAGGGCATTTGAACCCTGCAAAAAAGAAAAAAAGCTTTCCATCCTAAAACATTTCCTAAGACTTTTTGAAATACCGAACTGCTCACCTAAATTGATTTTTAATGATTGCGCACCAGCGTTCAACTTAAAAAAACAAACAAACAAACAAAACAAAAAAACATACGAGGTTATTTTCTTTGATGTTGCAGAGATTTGCACCAGCAAACATCTTTTCAAAAATGATTGTTTTTTTTTTATAATGCAAAAGTAGTCAGCCTCAGATACTTAGTTGCATATATAGTGAGTTTCAAAGAAATACATTCATGATGAGATGGACACTAAATGCTGGCTGGTTATCATTAGCACAAGTAAACATGACAACGGCCCAGGAAACGTACCTATTGGTGCGGGCGGCTTTTCTGCCTCTGAAGTAAAGAAGTATTTGTATTTATTATTTTTAATCGGTTGAAAATAAACCCATATAACTTCAAGAGTTTTAGCAATAACACACATGCGAACTCTGTTATCTGAACCGCTCACTGAAATGTAAGCTTAGTGAAACGTTGACTGACTTCAATTTTACCAATTTTTTTTTATTGGCTCATCCTTTTTTATTCTGTTTACTGTAAACAGAATAAATCTGTAACAAATTTTTTTAACCGCAGTAAAGATTAATTTCTTTGGAAGCAGCTGAAGTTTATTTGTTGCCCTTTTATTATTCGCATCAGGAGATTAGATTAAAGATTTTCAAAACATCGAGTCAAATCTAACGCGTATGATCACCTCTTTGGGATTCCTTTTAAGTTTTCTTCTACTGGCTTGGTAGTTCTCAAAAGAGAAACGGCTTGAATATAAAAAAAAGCCCTTACCTTCCAAAATTGTGATTAAATTTCGCAATTTTCCATTGCAATTTGCTTTTTCCTTTTCAAATTGAAAGCCAATCAATTTCTTTGGCTAATTGTAAATAGTCACTTACTTCTCGAGGCCAACATATTACGCTTACTCACCAGTTGTGGGTCGAGCAGTTGCTGAAAAAAAAGGAGCTGAATTTTATTTGTTTCCCCTTTTATTACTCGCATCAGGAAATTAGATGATAGATTTTCCAAACATGAAGTCAAATCTAACACATATGATCACCTCCTTGGGATTCATTTCAAATTTTCTTCTACTGGCTCGGTATTACTTAAAAGAGACGGCTTGAATATAAAAAAACCCCTTACCTTCCAAAACTGTGATTAAATTTCGAAATTTTCCTTTGCAATTTGCTTTTTCCTTTTCAAATTGAAAGCCAACCAATTTTTCTGGCTAATTGTAAATAGTCACTTACTTCTCGAGGCCAACATATTATGCTTACTCACCAGTTGTGGGTCGAGCAGTTGCTAAAAAAAAAACAAAAACAAAACTTGAATGTCAGCAAAATGACACATGACATGCCAGATCAGCTATAATAATTGATCATGAAAAACAGTCTCTATACTGACTGGGGGCCTTTGCAACTACGCTTTGATTCACCTGGGACGTCTAGCCAGAGGAATGTCAATTGCTTAGAATTTTAGAACTCGCCGACAGACATATATATTTTCAGTTTTTATACTCACATTAAACTGTTGACGAATATGATTTTCTCGTTGAAATCTGTTTTATTATTAGTATTATTATTATTTAGTGGTTTTTTATGTAATATAACCTGTTGAAATAACTTAGCTTACCCGCTTCTGTACAAAAGTTGCACGACTTAGCGCAGTATTTTCTCATAAACGTCCTTTGGTCTCTGCAATAGTTTTCAACGGCAGCTTTCTCAGGACAGCCATCTGCATAGTTTGGATCATCTTCGCACACTGTCAATAAACGATGAGCCGCCAACTTATCATAGGATACAGAGTCGATCAATATCAATTGATTCATTCATAGGAATAACCAAACTAGGGGAAATGCGTCCCCCCTCCTCATTCAAAGAATCTTTGGAACCGACCGAAAAAGCACGTAAAGAAAAGTTTAGAATGGTTTCCGAAAACAAGAGAAAGCTTCCATTCCTTCCATCTTACATTCAAAGTCTAGGGAAGGAAATTTTAAAAAAGCTTTATGAGGCTCTAAAGACGGAGGCGAGAGGATATGAAACAAAAGGTCCACGCATTAGTTTGTCTCTTGCTGTTCGTTTGTCTCTATAAAAGTGTCTCTATAAAGTGGCGAAATGGCTGAATGAACATAAGTTAACACTGAATCTGGACAAAACCAAATGCATGCTCATAGGCAGTAACAAGAAGTTACAGAGGAAAATAGCTCTAACTGTTTCAATTTTTGATCATTGTATAAACAATGTTACTTGTTTTAAATATCTTGGAATCTTAATATCGTCTGATTTTTCGTGGACAAATCATGTCGAATACATGGCAGGGAAAGTTAATCAAAGGCTTGGCCTACTTAGACGCATTAAGCATTTGTTACCGTTTAAGGCGCGCATCCTTTTTTATAAAAGCCTTGTTATGCCCTTATTCGAGTATGCTGATTTAGTTTGGGGAGACAAACATAATGTAACTTTAATGTCTAGTTTGCAAGTGCTTCAAAATAAGGCGGCTAAAATAATATTAGATCGACCACTGTATTCCTCTGCGTCTGATGCGTTAACTACACTGAAGTGGTTAACACTAGAAAAAAGGCGCTTCCAGCGCCGATGCGTACATGTATATAAATGTCTTAATAGTCTCACGCATCACGAACTAACATTAGTCACTCAGCAAGAACAGCATAGTTACAACACAAGAAATAAAGCAAACCTCAAAATTCCATCCGTTAAAAGAAACTGGGGCAAACAAAGAACTGGCTATCATGCTGTAAGTGATTTTAACTCGCTGGACAAAACTATACGAGCCGCTGATAATGTAAATATTTTGAAGCGTAAGATTTTTAATTCATTGATTTAAGTTTTGTATTACACATAAGATACATTAGTTTTTAGTAGCATCTTTTAGCATTTTTATTCATTGTAAATTTTTAATTTTTAATTTTCGAGGTCCTTTTTGTAAACCACTTTTTAGTGAAAAAGTTTCCTCATTAAAGATTGTCATCATCATCAAAAAGAGGGAAAACACAACACACACTTACCAACAGGTGAGGTGGGCTTTTCACTTGGTCTCCCTGAAAAAGAGAAGAATGTTACTTACGAGTGAGAAGGAGTGAGAAGGACTGTTGTCAGTAGTGGTACTGACACTCAAGAGGAAGAACGCCATTGACACCCCACGCTGCATTCGCCACAGATGCTCAGCACCACAGCCGCCTAAACTTTACGGTCTTCTGAAACTACACAAACCTGAACTCCGGATGCGACTAGTTGTTTGGTTCTATGATTCTCCCTTCTACAAACTATCCAAGTACCTGATGACAATACTACAACTACTGACCGATAAATCTAAACGTAAGCTTCAATCCACCGAGGACTATTAACCCAAAAAGCCGGACTGTGAAGATACCTGAATAAAGGGAGTAAGTTTCTAAAGAAACTGTGATGCTGCGTCGGTGGGAATAACAAGATAATTTGGTTTTATCAACTAAGTTGAAATTGAAAATTGGTCACAGTAGAGAGTTAAAAAGCTGACGTTTCGAGCGTCAGGTCAGCCCTTCGTCATTCGCTCTGACGAAGGGCTAACGCCCGAAACGTCAGCTTTGAAACTCTTCACGATGGTCAATTTACCATTTCAACTTTGTTGATATATTCAAATTATTTCGTTACCCTCACCGACGCAGCTCCAAACAGTTTCTTTAGAAACAATCAGCCTTTATTCTTAAGTGAACTTACTTTCAGTACAACAGTAACCACTACAAACAGTTACATGGTAAAGCTATGGGGTATAGAACGCTCCCTCTCGGCTTGCCGACAAACGATACCGCTTTGGTTATGTCACGTTGAAGGCAATATAATCACAGCCGTGCGACACAACTAAATCGACGTATTCCACCACCACCTTAACGGAAAAAACACTGACATATATTTTACCAGAAAAGTCGAATAAAATGGTAACTTCAGTTCCTTTTCCGCGGACGGCCTGGTTAGCCGTGAAGACAGCTCACAACGGACAACAGTTTACGGGAAACCTACAATACCGAAAAGTTACTAGACGAGTCATCCTACAACTCAACATAATAGAAGCCAAGACTACAAGAACGACTTTATCCGACGAAACACTCATCGACCTTCTGCAACTACCGAAACGACATCACAACTGCTGTGACTACACGGACTAAACCGTACATATAACGGGCATGTCTGAGAACATCTCGCCCATCCTACAACCCTTCAATATCCGTATCGTCGACGAACCCATCACTACTCTACGCCAGCTGCTGACAAACGTCAAAGACAAGGAAGAATCGAAGAATAGACAGGGAGCGTTTTATATTATCAATGGCACCGACTGTCAAGCCCCCTACATCGCAGAGACTAGTACAGACCTCACAACCCGCTAAACTCGTATTCATCGAGTCAAAAGGTAAGCTGGACGTTTGCGCCTCGAGCAGCAATAGCTTCTCGAGTGTCACTACCACCCTCCCTCCCCCTCTTCCAAACATCGACCTCAGGTATTTTAATTTTGAAAAAAGAAGCTTCAATCTTTTTTCACAAAACCAGCATTTCAATATCGAAATGTTGAGAGTTTAGAAGTTCCGCGCTAGGTTCTTTCCTTGGTTGTTAGAAAGTTTAAACGCTGGAGTATGATTAATTAGAAAGTAGTGGAGTATTATCGCTTTAGGACGACTACAGTGATTATGTAAACGGTAAATATGACTTTTCTCGTTGAGAATTCGTCAAATTGTATTGATGATTAACTGTCAATCATCTTGGCAGGGCTACATTACCAAGGCAACTAAATTCGTACCGCACGTCCAGTCTGCAATTATTGCTAAGTCGAGGTCACACGTCCTAAATTTGGATCACTGGTACTCAAATTACGCAGCTAAGTAAAATATGTATTTGAAAGAATTACTGTAACTTTAACTGCATTACCGGAGATAATTATTATTTGTTTACTCACTGTAAAAACAAAAAAAAAAAATTTCTAATTTACGAAGAAAAGTTGATGCCTTAGTTCCGGCTGCGTTAAACCTTCTACCGGGGCCAAATAAAATATGACGGGTAATTAATAGATATTACCATAAAATGTATCGACGTAATGAAGGGTTTCAGGGGAAAGAATAACAAACTGACAGTTCAATTGGGACGATAATGGCCAAGCAAACACCGGGAAAACTCACCTACTTATTTGATTATTTAACCTCCTTGGAAAGGGGGAGCACTTAGCATTGGCTTGAAATTACTTTACGGTAAAATCGCTAAACGAACGTCCTTTCGTCGTTCTATTTCTTCAGAGGTCATAAATGTGGTGCCAATGTCATACAATTTGTTTGTAATGTGTTAGCTCTTATGGCTGTGAACTTTATCCTACTTGAATGGCTCTTCAATTAGTAACAAAAGAAAATGCGAAAATGGGAATGACGAAGGAAGGAGTAGAAAAATTGACTTTAATTCATATCTTATTTAACTACAAACGCAAACCCATCCCAAGAGGGAACTTTCAACAGTTGTAAAGTAACGCTTTGAAACCGAAACCTGGTATTAAACTTATTTCATGGAAAAACAAATGAGATCAATCATATCTGCGTTGTTTATGACAAGGACGACTCTGTGAAACTTGTTTTCCTCCAGATACAATGAAATATATGAAGTTCATATATTTTGAACTGCGGTATTAGATACGTTTGATGCACGATCCTCGCAGTAGATAGCGCTATTTAAGCAATAGCGAAAATCAGACCTGAAAAAAAAATCAGGCCTGTACGGGATTCGAACCACTGACCTCTGCGATACTAGTGCAGCGCTCTACCAATTGAGCTAACAAGCCAACTGGGAGCAGGCCGTTAAGTCTAATACCGTTTTGAACTGCGGTATTAGATACGTATGATGCACGATCCTCGCAGTAGATAGCGCTATATGAACTTCATATATTTCATTGTATCTGATTTATCACTTTCACGGGTTTATTAAGAATCAACTTAGCGGCCTGCTCCCAGTTGGCTTGTTAGCTCAATTGGTAGAGCGCTGCACTAGTATCGCAGAGGTCAGTGGTTCGAATCCCGTACAGGCCTGTTTTTTTTCAGGTCTGATTTTCGCTATTGCTTAAATAGCGCTATCTACTGCGAGGATCGTGCATCAGACGTATTGTTTTCCTCCGTTAGCCAACAGTACAATTAAAATGTTGAAAAAAGCAGGATCAAGAGGGCTAACAGATCTGTACACGTAGGTAAAAATTAGATGAAAACTCGTTTCAAGTAAAAAGGACTCAGAAGAGGTGGTTCACTGAAAAGAAGTTCAATGATATCAAAAGATATCTCTTACCTTGACAACCACCACAAAAAATTGAAACACCGGTAAGAAACACTGAAAATAACGGAAAGCTTTTCATGACGACTTTAGCAGCATCGACTCGAAATGAACGTCCTCACATCAGCTTTTAGCATCAAACTTTGCCTAACTAAGTAAACATTTTGAGGAAATGATATTCAGGTTAACGTTGTAAACCAATTAAGTGTTTCGATATGACGTTACTTTACCTGATCTCGTTGTCAGTTATCGTAACTGACACCTCTCGGTTTGACTTTAGTTTACGGCGATCAATAAACCACATCTATTTTGCACATATTCTGCTTTAGGGATTTTTTAGTTTGAGCAAGCACAAGTACTGCTTTAGAATGAGGCGTTATGCATGAGTTTCAAGGGAAATCAAATCGTTTCATTAAGCTACAAACTCTAGTAAACTCATTCCTAAATTTGAATATCAATAACGCGTATCATTTCAATACTTAAAAGAAACTTGCCGACGAGATGCATAAAATTCTGGAATACTGTCCATTTTTCTTTATTCCCAAGGCGTAGTTACGAAAAACTCGTGCGTAGTTATAAAAACTCGTGCATCATGTTTCATCAAGGTTTCCAAGTGCTCGAAAGCAATTAAAAGTGTCCATCTGCTCACACTCGTATTTAAATACTACTTCTAAGTGAGTTTAAGATCAGTCAAGCATAATTCTTCCATTTTTTTTTTTTTTTTGCTTGTGATCGGCGCTCCGGCTAAGAAATGTTAACTGGTTTGAATCCTTTTCGTGGTTAATGGTTCATTATTGCGGTTGCTGGCTTACCCAGTAGCCGTAATGTCCTCATTTTAGAAGTAAGCCGATTTCTCGTGATTTTTCGTGAGGCAATCGGCGTCGCGAAAATTATTGCGTAAACAGTTATTAGTAAAATCATTTGACCGATTGATTTAAATCAATTATCTTACGTAGAGAGTGTCGGCTGAGTGCATTAATAATTGATGGTTGGGATGCTGACTGTTTGAATGTGGTATTCAATATTAATTGAGTTTCATTTGTATAAGCAAAATCTCGCCTTCTAGAGAGCTAAAAACTGGATGGGTAATTAAATTACACTCACTTGTGAGGAAGCTTAAAATGCTTAAATAAGGGCCTTGTGATACCTAGTTGCAAAAATTTCACATTGAGTTCTATCGAAGGATTTTACCTTCATCTAACAATCCGTGGTCCCTCATCGATAGACCTGCAATGAGACATCATACAGCAATTCAAAGTTATCAAAACACATTAGCCGAATAATAAAGCTTCAATGAAAACAAGGATAAGACGTAATAGTTAAGACTTACGAGGCTTGTGTACATAATTATAGGCGTGTAAGGCCTTAACATGCCTCCCAATGCAAATTGGAAAGTAGATTGTTAGCACGAACCCCAAAACTATTGCTTTCATTTTGTTATATTACCCAGCGGGGCAGTGGAACAGCTGTCTTTCGCATCAGAGTCCACCGTTGTATTTATGAGCGTCTTCGCCAAGCAAAATGTTAATATATTGCGTTCTTAATGCGCAGAGATGCGTAGAAAACTGACGATGCATGATTTTGGCGGAAAATATTGTTAGCTAGCGCTTTTTACAAGAATGACTGACAGTTATTGTGTCTCCGATATTCAATGTGCCTGTAAGCCCTGGGGAAAAATCAACCCACTTATTTTCCTAATCAGTAAATTTGTTGAGATGAAGTCAGCATGCATACTCACTCATGAAGGTTACATGCACTGATTGTACAATGGTTTGAGAGGGAAAATGCATGAATGCTGTTGTGCAGTGTTTGAATAAGACTTATTTCAATTCTGTGCAAACGCTCTCAGAAAATATGATGAATAAAACAAAATAACAATGGCGAATATTGAAATTTAGATTAAAGACGCGTTATTTAATTTCAACTGTTTTTATTGACAATATTAATTTATCGGTGGAGAATTTGACTTTGAATCAGTAACACCCAACCATCCATAGCATACAACGCTATACCCAAGAAAACTGATCTGACCCTGCTTGGAGTGTAGCGTGCATTTTGCAAGAACAAATTAAATGCAGAAAACTGAATTGAAGAAAAATTCCCTTTGATTACTATTTTCCCCCAAACCAAACTGAATTTTGAACACTTTTATCTACAGGTTACCTAATGTGGTATCAATATCCTGCCAGAAAACATGCAGCTGCAAGATTTCGCTGAAACATGAAAGGTAACAGGAAGGCGGACCGTGTACAATTTTATATCTTCTTATTTTTGACGTCTTTGTGAGAACTCTTTGAACCCTGATATATTATGATGAAGGTGAATGAATGAAATAAAAATGGCCTGATGAAAGACAGAAATCAATTCTTTTGAAAAGAAAGTAATTTTCGCTTAAAAAGGAGTATTGAGATCTCGTCAGTGATCAATGGTTTAATTTTGGATTTCAATTCCATAACACGTATTATCAAACTGGATGCAACCCATAATGTTTATTTGTTTCCCTGTTTTCTTCAATACATATCACCTGAGCTGGGTTTCAATATTTTCTGGTTGACTTCTCGGCCGTTCGTTGGTTTGGTTTGGGGAAGTGTTGCGTGACATCCCAAGCCAGTTGAACTGCCCGGCGCGAGGGAGATTATTAACATTTCTCGATGGGCTCGACGAACACCACTGACTGAAAACGTAATTATTCTTTTTTGGGCATTTTAATGCAGTTTCAGCTTTGTAAATGTACTGACAGGCAAAAATTTAGCTTTAACTGATAATAAGCTTACTTTTAGTTGTATTTAATTAACAGCCCATTTCAGCTGTTTGCGTTACTTAAAGCAGCAGGTAACTGTGTTTGGAACAAGGTCAAATCGGCCATCTTTTCCGCGGATCCGGAGTTTGAACTGCAGCTCAGAGGCTAAGGTTCTGAGTCAGGAGCTAAATCATGCCCCATTAGAAAAGAGAAAACAAGAATAAATTACAAAAGCAAAACATCATATAGGTAGAAAATTTCAGACGGCCCCAATCTGCTGGTTAAGACTTAGATGTTGCCCAGCTCTTGGGGACTAAACGCAGAAAACATCGAAGGGACTCCCATAATCTCGATTGAAAAAAAAGTTTAAAATAATGTTCAGTGTAGGTTTCTTTATCTTTTTAAAATTTTTGTGTAGTATCCCCAATTAGTCCAGTCTCACTTAATACCATAACAATTTTAAAAGTGAAACTGCTTATCTTATGCAAGTTACTTCTTCTGCTCTGTTTTTTTTTTATTATTATTTTTATTTTTTTGGTTTTCTTTTGTTTTGTTTTTTTTTTTTGGAAGTCAACCACAATGTTAGTAAGATTTTCTGAACTCACATTTATCAATTTATCGCTCCGACGAAGGGCTAACGCTCGAAACGTCAGCTTTTGTAATCGTTACGGAGGCCAATTTACCATTTCAACTTTGTTGATATATCCAAATTAACACATTTATCAAGTTTAGCGTACCCGTTACCATGCTAAAATAATTTTTTCTCTCATGATCCCTTACCACAGAACTCGCACTTAACCAAACAATTTGTTTTCGCTTCATAGATTTTTTTAGGATCGGAGGAAGAACAATGCCCGGCTTTCTTCAAATCTTCACAATAACCGTTCTCTTTCTTGTCGTAACATTCTGTCCAAAACAAAATCAACAAACAAATAAACACTATAAAGTTCAAGCTTATATAAATCAATCTAGCAAATCCTGTGAATTCATACTAAGTCTTAAAGTTGTGTTATCGAGGTTAACAGGCGCTCATTATCGATCATTAATGTTACAAACTTTTCTTTGATTTACTTACCCTCTGGGGTGGGAGCCTGACCTGAAGAAAAAACAAAAACAAACGATTAACTGCTTATCAAATTAAATTTCATTTACAGATAAGATTTACGAAAACTAACAGGCTCTCTAAATATTTAAATTTTCTGTTTTGTATTTTTCTTTGTTAATTTAATGATTTCTTTGTCATCACCGGCTTTGTAAACGATGTCAGAACTCACTGGAAATAATACATCGTATGTATGGTCTGAAGGAGAGTGACTTTTTAGGATACGGTGGCCTACAACTGTCACAACAAATTAAAGTCACTCACATCAAATCAAAATCACTCGCATCAAATTAAAATCCCTGACTCACATCAAATTAAGATCACTCACATCAAAATAAAGTTACTCACATTAAATTGAAATCACTCACATCAAATACAAATCGCTCACATCAAATTCAAACCGCTCACATCAAATTCAAATCGCTCACATCAAATTCAAATCGCTCACATCAAATTCAAATCGCTCACATCAAATACAAATCGTTACATCAATTGGTCAGCGGCTAAGTCAATGAATGTTATCCCCAATGTTTACTCGGTCTTCCACTTTACCACCATTTTGTACGATCCGTTCTGTACGATCGTTCTTTGACTAGACACTAGTTCATCAATCAGAATTCTAGCAAATATGCATTGCACTAATTGGGGGAGCGATGTTGAAAACTGCAAATTCTGCAGAGCCTGGGGCAAAGGTAAGAGAAATGGTGCACATATTTTATGTTCTACATGTATATTATGGACGATCGGTGAGATCCAGTGTTGCCCATTTCGGCTCAACATCGACTTGCACGTGTGAAAGCGGGATTTTGGGAAAAGAACGATCGTACAAAATGACGGTAAAGTAGAAGACCGAGTAAACATTGGGGATAGCATTCATTGACTTAGACATCTATATTTAGACAGGATAGCCCCTTCAGTGTGGTAAACACTGGTATCAACGAGAGGCCTGTTACCCACCCATCCCAACTCAGGAGAGGACATCCATCACACAGTAATCTCGTGCGTGGGAAATTAACGTCTCCTGCCCCAAACCCTGCAGGAGATGGGACCTCCATTTATTCGTCCCTATCCGAGAAGACTAGAATATCTAATCATTTCTTGATGTAAGACCCTGAGTGTTGGTCCGGGGCTCGAACCCTCGACCTCCCGCACAACAGTCCAGCGCTCTATCCATTGAGCTAACCAGGAGGCGGTTTTGAATTTGACTTAGCCGCTGACCAATTGATGTAACGATTTGTATTTGATGTGAGCGATTTGAATTTGATGCGAGCAATTTGTATTTGATGTGAGCGATTTGTATTTGATGTGAGCGATTTGAATTTGATGTGACTGATTTGTATTTGATGTGAGTGATTTCAATTTAATGTGAGTAACTTTATTTTGACGTGAGTGATCTTAATTTGATGTGACAGTTGTAGGCCACCGTATTAGGAACTTCGGGTGCATGGTTCATAATGTAGAATTTTGTTTAGGACATGTGATTCAGTTTTGAGATGGGAAAAACACGTGGAAGGACTTGGTGTAATTTTGGAGTTCAGTTTTCGGTTCTGTCGATAGTTTTAGTCCTTTCTGCCTCGAAATTGCAAGTATGTGAAATTTTATATATGGTCTTCAGCTCGATACCATGTTTGTATTGTAATGTAGTGTAAGGTAAGGATCGTTTGATTCTGTACATGTTTATTTATTTTTGCAAGTCCTATTGTTTTGTCATGGCAACATGAAATAATGATAATAATAGTAAAGATATATAAGATTTTTAAGTTTAAGTTTCCGCGGTTTTGTTTGGAAATTGGAAAAACTTTTCTTCCCATATGATATGCTTTATGTTATGTCATTTCGTCTCCAGAACCCTTTTGGTAGGTTCTACGGTGCAATTTATCTTTAAACAGCCACAGGCTTTTACTTACACATCTCACAACTCACTCCACAGTAAATGGCCATGTTTTCCTTTTGGTTAGGAATTTCGCACAGTCCAACTCTCTTTAAAGTCCCACAATTTTTGTCATAATCTTGACAAAAAGCTAACATGTTGAACAAAAAATATGGGATTAACTTTTGATACTTCACTGTAGTCCGATTACTTAATCAATTATATTTGTTTTCATAGATGATAACTCAAAATTGTGCAGTAATCTTTTTGTGTTATTTTCTCCACATCAATTTGGTTTCCATACTGCAGCAGAACTTGACCTTAAAGTGCTGTAAAACCTCAAATTGGCGCCACCATTTAAATAAGCGTACCTCTTGAAGGAGCTAATTAGATCAACTTTACACTTTTATACTATACATGTTTCAATTTGAGCCCCAGATGGGACTTGAACCCACCACCCTCAGTGATCTAGTCGTATGCTCTAACTACTGAGCTACTGGAGACTCTATGGTGAGCAAGGGCCAATTTGTGGGTCTGGACTGGAACCGCATCGCGCGGCTACACAGCCAAGTATTAGTCAGCGCCTGTCACATTATATCAAGATGCTGTTTAGCCGCTGTGTAGCGGCTGTGTAGCCGCGCGATGCGGTTCCAGTCCAGGCCCACAAATTGACCCTTGCTCGCCATAGAGTCTCCGACTAGATCCCAGAGGGTCGTGGATTCAAATCCCATCTAGGGCTCGGATTTTTCTTTTACTCTAAAATTCTTTCATCTTTACATGTTTCATTTTGAGATCAATTTGAAAAAGATAACGCCCGAGCGCCATTTCATCAAAAAGCGATCATATTTGGCCAAGATTGAAACAAAACTGATTTCATTTCATTTCTCATCACTGCACTCCCCCTTCCATCTTCTCGAATACATGCTTTATATCGCTTTCTCAGTTTGAAATATTTCAGGGATTTACGGAATACATTTTTTCTACTAGTCAATTTTATTTAGGTCGGCTTTCTCCTAAAATATTTTTAAGACTATAATGTTATGTATATATTGGGTAGAAAGGAAAGCGGTGGGGGGGGGGGGGGGTTTTCAGAGGATTTTGGCTCCGTCACGATGAAATTAACCTGATTCTCCATAAGGCTATGCAACATTATTCCCTCTCCTTCCCCCATTCCCCCTTCCCCCATTGGAGGCAGTTCATTGACAGTCCTTAGTCTCCCTTTATACTCTTCCGGGGCTCCCCTTCCGTTCCTTCTGGAATTTGTATGATCCCCTGAAATTCCTCTACCTCCTTATCCTCCCTCCCCCCCTCCCCGTCCCAACCGGGCAATGAATAATGACGGTCCCTGACTAAAGGATTGAGGTAAAAAATAGACATAAGTCATTTTTCTGATCACTAAACAAGCAATGAACGTCCTAAAAAAAGGAGCAGCGAATAGGGGAAGGGTATAGGCTATTACAAGGTGTCAAGAAGTGTCTTTCGTTCTTGTTATTTCTAATTCTCGTCGCGTATTAAAGTAATTTGTTCATTCTTACGTGCTGTAGGTGCTGGTGGCTTTGGTTCGATAGGTGCTGGAGGAGGTTCTGTAGGAACAGAAAGCAAAACTAACAATTTTAATAAAGAGAAAATTTATATTAGATCATCCTTAGTTACCTTATTGTTATCTTAGTCCAAGAGAATATAAATCTGATCAAGCTTAAGGTGAGCGTATTTCAGAGGAATTAAGAAAATATCGTGAAAAGTCAAGTGAAAACAAGCAAACCGCCTATAGGGGGAGAGGAGGGGGTGAAATGGCGAGTGAGTATGGCGTAACTGATTGGTTGAGAAAGTGTCACGAGTTTGCTAAACCAACAACAGAGCAAAGACCAGTGCAATTCCGAATTCGTGTTGAAACTCATTTAAAATGTATCTACAAGTAGTAGATGACTGACCAAATCCCATATGCTCTCCTCGTCCTTCTTTAGCCTGAAATGATAGATATTTTGTGACATATAATTAGCATACCTATTTTTCCGCAAACTTTGCAGCTTCCTCTGCAATAATTTTGCATAAATTTCGATTTGCAATAGCTGTCGTCTTTTGCCCATGTCGGGCATTCATCCTTCCACTTTGGCAGATCTTCACAACCTATTACAAAATTATAAAGCAAACTGTCGTGATTTTTCTCGCATTATTTTGTTACAAAGTCGAAATCACTAAAGATAAGCCTTAAAGAGTTGCTATCATGAAAGCCAGTTAAATATTTAAATTAATTTACGCGGGAGAGTCCTGTGACACCAATTATGCGAGATGTAGTTTTTATTTCGATGAAAACTATTCCACGGTTAAGTACATTGTGTACATAGCATCTCAGATTAGTAGTTCGTGATTGGAAGATAATTAATAACTACGGTTAAAGATTAATATTAAAATAGATTTTTTAGTTCAATCGCCTGACTTAACACGACGATACATAATTAATTCACCCCGCGCCTCATTCAATGATGAATAACAGAGTTTAAAATGATGAAGACTAAAAAATCATTTTGACATGGAATTGGCAAAATTTACATGTAATCTTTGGTTCAAGCGTCTCAGTCCTTATTCACTTAGACAAAATCTAACTTGTCAAAAAAAATTCCTGAGAGTGCTGAAAAATGTCTTGGCGGGAAGATCACAAAATATTTACTTTTAAACTTAATTTTTTTAGCTCTTTGGGGACAGCGAAAACTTTGGAAGGTACATTGATTTTGATAGGCTGTTTCAAATAAGGCTACGAAAATTACGGTACATCGGGTGTACCCATTACTGTTTTACGTATACCAAGCTGCAAAAGAAAAATTTCACATTGAATTATCCAACAGTATTACCTTTGTCCGACAATTCGTGATCTCTCATCGATAGACCTAAAATGAGAAATCATTCAGCAACTGTTCAAACTGAAAAAAACTTTGAGATATAACTGTCTACACTTACGAGGTTTATGTACAAAATCATACGCGTGCAAAGCCTTAAAATGTCTTCCAACGCAAAGTGGAATGTGGGCTGACAACATAAACGCCAAAAGAATGGCTTTCATTTTGTTAGATTTCTCAGTGAAGCAGCGATGTGAACAGTGGAAGAGCTGCGTCTTACACCAGAGTCAACCGTTACGCTTATGAGTGTTTGCGCTCAGCAATGTTAATTTATTGAGTATCTGATAATCAATGTGCAAACGGTCGTAAAAAACTAATGATGCATGCATGATTGTGGCGGAAAATATTGTTATGTCACGGTCTTTTGACCACATAAATGTGGAAAACATTTCATGACTCGATTTTACAAGTGAACTTAAAGTGATACTGAAAGTTTATTGAGCTTTTTTACATTATGGTCCTTAATTTTACATAAACTAACCAAGCTGTTTCTACAAATTTTAACTGCAATGTGAA